GGGGGCCAAACCTCGGCCCCAGATGCGCTTTAGAAAGGAGCCGCAGAACAGCTGGGGTGGAAGGGGTAGAGGCAAGAGAGCTTCTGTCCCTGGCCGGTTTTGTTCGCTCGAGTGTGCCGGTGTGTGTTCGTGGAGGGCAGCAAGCCGCTGGAAGAGTTGATGGTGCTTTGCAAGTAGTTCTTGATGTCCCGCCCCCAGGACTCGCTGAGCTTGCGGTGCTGTGTCATTTAAATGAACAGAGAGCGTCCCTGGGAGCACAAAGCCGCCTGTGCAGTCCCCTGAAGGCTCAGCTTTTCGTGGGGAAGCGAAGGGGAATCCTTTCATCCAGCTGTCCCGGCCGTAGGCAGGCTGTGCAGATCTGCACAAACGTCACCCACGTTCACAGACGCCTTTAATGATGAGATTGTTTTGTTTTCAGCTGGACGGAAGCAGTTGCTTAACCACCAACTTCTGCAAACTGTGGCACAGAGATGGACTTTTAATAATGTTCCATCCCGCAGCCTTGTGGGGGAATACTTTGTGTCATCTCTACAGAGCAAAATCAGTATCTTTAAATACACTTCTGCCTGTTTCCTTTTTTTTTTTTTTCCCGGGGTCAAGTACTAAACTGTTCTGCCCTGCAAGCACCAAAATTTAACATAGATTTTAAACAGTTTCAAATTCCAAAGCTTGAGCAATATGTTAGAATTGAATATATACATATATTCTTCATATACAGTTACATACAGTGGTCCATCTTAATGTGTTTGTGTGCTGTCTTAATGGGGACCTTCTCTGTGCCAGGGCTTTTGGGAATGGTGCAATAATCACCTACAGGCTGCTGCTAATAGAAGTGAAAAACTCTGTGGGAAGGTTTCAAATCCCAAAAACCGCTGCAGTTTAAGCCTGTCAGTGCACATACTTTGTGTGATGAACTCCTTCACCTGCAGCTCTCAGGGGAGATGAGATTTGGGCAGGATGCAGTCTGGAGCCGTTACCAGTGAAGATGTTTCCCCAGAGCTGGTGTGCCTGGCTGGAGCACTGTGGGGAACATTCTGTACTGTTAAAACAATTCTAGCTTTACTTACAGTTGCCTGGGGCAGGAAGGGACCTGCAGCATTCCCTGGAACTGCCTTTGGTGTTTGGGAAGAGATGATGTTGATTTATCGAGTAAATAGCTTCAAAGTTTGAGAGATTTTTGTTGTTTTCCCTTAGGTTTGTTGGCTGGTGTTTGGTTTTGTTTTGTTTTCCTGATGCCGGTTTCTTGCCAGCTGTTTGTCAGAGCAGCTCAGCTGGTTAGAGCAGGGTGCTGATAATGACAGTGATGTGGGTTCAGTCCCTGTGTGGGTCATTCACTCGGACTCGATAATCCTTGTGGGACCCTTCCAACTCAGACTGTGGCTCTGGGAAGAACAGATCAGGGGCTTTGCTATGAAATCTGACTGAGTGCTCTGCTGGGAAAGGGTGTGGAGAGCATCCACAAGGCTCAGAACACATGGTCCGTGAGGAAGGGGTTAAATAAAAGGCTTCATTAGTTTAGGTTTAGATGAGAGAAGGTGTTCCTGTTCCCAGATATGTTAAAGGTGGCTGAGAATGGGGGCAGTGGTGCAGGAAAGCATTGTGCTCCAGAGTTACGGGATCAGGACAAGGGGTGGTCTGTGAAAGTCACAGCAGGGAGACTCCAGTTACTGGAGACACTGGGTTCCTCTGGCCAGATGAGACAAAACGCGTTGAGACTGACTGATCTCCTCCCCACCCCCAGCTGAAATATGAGCCCCAAAAGTCTCCATCCTTTGTGAATAATGACAGGTGTCAAATCTGACACTGCTCTTGCACCCTGCTGGAAATGGACACTGCCCATCACAGGTAATGTCACCTTGTCCCTGTAAGTCAGGGGGAGAAACAGATTCGCACTGCTCTCCCCTTTGGCTGTGAGAGGACAGGGCTATGTCCTGGTTTGAGGAAGGCAGGAACCTCCCTTGGAATGGAAAATACAACCCCTGTCCTTCTGAACTATTATAACTTTGAAATTGCAGGGCTCTCAGGCAAAGGTATGGGGAAAGGAGCATTCTTTACTAGAATGTGTGTGCACACCCCAGAATGTGTGTGTACATACTGAATGTGCGTGCACAGCCCTGAATGTCTCTGTACATTCCAGAATGTGTGTGTCCATCCCGAATGTGTGTGCACAGCCCAGAATGTGTGTGTCCATCCCCAGTGTGTGTGCACAGCCCAGACTGTCTCTGCACACCCCAGACTGTCTCTGTACATCCCAGAATGTCTGTGCACAGCCCAGAATATCTGTGCACACCCCAGACTGCCTCTGTCCATCCCCAGTGTGTGTGTCCACCCCAGACTGTCTCTGCACACCCCAGACTGTCTCTGTCCATCCCCAGTGTCCGCACTGTCCCTCTGTCCCGCTGCCGCAGCCGAGCCCGCCCCAGCCGCGCTGCCCTCGGTGCAGTTCCGGGCCCGGCCGGCAGGGGCGCTGCTGGCTCCCGGCCGGCGGGGGGCAAGGAGAGGAAACTGTGCAGCCCCAGCGGGAGCTTCGGGGTTGGGTGACGCGGAGTGCAGGGTTAAAGTGTAGCAAAAAAGCCCCGGGCAGCAGAGAAAACACCAGCACTGGGCTGTCCTCCTCCCGTGCCAACAGCGAGAGAAGGAGAGCAGCAGAGCCCAGCCCCTCACCCCTGGCCAGAATCTCATGGTGTCTTTGCCCTTCCAAAGAGAAAACCCCAGGTAAGAGAGTGGGCATGTTGCCCCTTTCCCCCCCTTTGGCCTTTTTTTTGTTTTTTTTCAGTACTGGTCATTATTTCTGTTAGTAACAGATGGGACAAAATTCCATGAGAGAAAGAAAGAAAAGGAAAAATCCTAATCCCCAGCAGGGCATCACCACTATCTCATCTCCCTTTGATCCCTTCTGGAATTTTCTTCCCATTCCCGGTTCCATTGCCTCCACTGAGGGCTGAGCTGTGCTAGTGGGGCAGGGACTGCAGTGTTCTGTGCTCAAGAGTTCTCCCAGGAGTTTATATGGATCTAATTTCTGCCTGGTCCTTTAAATCAGGAGCAGAACAAACCTTTCTTGAGTGGAGCTTGAGTAGATTTCCAGAGTCCTTGGAAGAGCAGTGTTTAGAAGCTGGTGCAAATAAATCACTGCAGCCCTGGCTGTTGGGACAGCTGTGGGCTCCTGTCTGTGGGCAGTGCCCAGAGATGCTTTCTGGCTTTGGAAGGTGAGCATGCCATGGAACAGGTGCAGCACTGCTCTTCCTCCTTTCTGAACCATGGTGTGAAGCTGTCAGAGGCTGGTGTCAGGCTGTGTTTGTGGGCTCTCCTTGGAGAGACAGGTTTGGGTTTCTTTCCTGTTCAACCTCACCATGCAAATGGCTTGAAATGATGTGGCAGATCCCCAGGGCAATGGAACACTGAGCTGGTGGGGGATGAAAGGCCTAGAGGGATGGGACAGGGCTGTGCCATGCATGTCCTGCTTGTGTGGAGCTGTGGGTGCTGCAGCAGGGTCAGGGTTTGCTCAGAGCCTCTCACAGCCACCTCACCTCTCTCGTGGTTCAGGAACCTAAAACATTTCAGTTACAGCACCCAGCCAGAGTTTAGTTTGGCTTTTTAAAGAGTGGCCGATGAAGGCTGAGCAGTGCCTGTGTCACCTGACATGGCAGTCGTGGTGTTGGTGACGTGCAGGCTCTGCCTGCTGCCCCACACAGGACTCCAGTGCCACTCTGAGCTCCTGTGCTTGGTTCACTGAAGCTGCTGCTCCTCCCTCACACCCCAGGGTTCAGTAGTGCCCCTGGCAGCTCTGCCAAATTCTATATTTTGTCAGATAATGTATTACATTTCAGTTTAGAACACTGTCAGTGTGGTGGCTGCATGGCTTAATGAAAAGTGGGTTTGTGCAGAGCTGCTGTGTGGCTGTGTGTCCGTGGCAGGGGGACAGTGGTCAGTGCTGTGCGCTGCTCCTGCAGGAGCAGAGGAGCATCTCCCCTGCACAGCTGCTGTGCCTCAGGCAGCTTTAGTTCTTGTTGTACACAATAAAAGCTTGTGTGTGCCTGTGTGCTGCCCCTGGGGCTGGCTCTGAGGTCCTTCCTGCCCTTGGCCCCTCACAGGTACGGAGTGCAGGTCATGGAGAAGGTTCTCAAGATGGCTGAAGGCATCGACATCGGGGAGACGAGGTGCTACGAGCTGGTGCCCAGCAAGAAGCTGAAGAGATACCGCTCTCCATCGGACAGTGAGTACACCTGCAGTGCCACTGACCCTTCCCTGTGCCTGTCCTTGTCCCTGTCCCTGTCTGGGGGCAGCTCTGGGAGCAGGGGGACACCAGTGTGCCACAGGGCCGCCTGTGGGACAGCCAGCACAGCAAACTGGAGGGAAGTGCCTGTGGGGGCTCTGCTGGACTGCAGAGCAGCTCCCCCTCCTCTGCCATGTGCATGATTCACACACAGTTCTGTCTTTGCCTAGGAAAATACCATTTTTCATTTCAATTGTCAGGACTGGTGTCTGGAATCAAATACCTGTGTGGCTTTGTGTGCTGTGGTGAGGTGTGATGTTCTGACCCCAGGAAGGGTTGTACATGTACATAGTGATGTTCAGCTCATTGCTTTTGAGTTACAGCCTGCTTGGAGCTTTGAGGGAATGAGGAGTAGGCACAATGTGTGGTTTTGGGGGTTTTTTTCCCCCTGCTGGGCCTGGAAGAGTGCCGTATGTCAGCCCAGTCCATGGTTTCAGGTATCAGTGTTGCAGCTGTAGCCTTTCCAGTGCAGGACATGCAGCAGGCAGGGAGTGCTGGCAGTCGGTGGCTCTGTCTGCTGGCTGCTCCATGGCACCTTCAGAGCTCTGGAGAGGGCGGGATCTGTGCAGGCCCCCGTGTCAGTCAGCACTGCCTGTGGGAGGCACAAATGGTCAGGCAGCACAGGACTCCTCTGGGCTTGGGTAGAATTTCTAGCTCTGCCAAAGTTGCTTCCCTTACTTTGCCAGCCAGGAGTCTTTCTGTGCTTCCATGGGCCAGCTGCAAAGCTGAGGAGATGCTGTTCTGTGTTTTGTCTGTCACAGGCAGCAGCCCTGAGGGTTCTCCAGGGCTTGTTGCACAGACGGCACAATGAGCTGTTCTGCTGGCAAGAGCCTTTAGGTGCTGCTGCAGTGCAGCCATCAAAAACAGGGAAGAAATGCAAACCTTGCCATAATTCATCAAAACTGATGGGCAAAGGATTTAATGTGTAAGAGCTTTGTCACCTGATTTCAGCAGGAAGGGAGGAAGGGCTGTTTGTGCTGTGTGCAGGTGTTGTTTTCACCTGTGCTGTGGTGGTTGATGTCTAGACAGCCTGACCTACAGCAAGGCCAGCACATTGGCACTGGATTAGGCAGCACTTCCCAGCACTGAGCTGGCCTTTTGCTCCTGCGATGAAATTACACACATGGACCACGTCAGCATGTGGGTGCTGAATCTTCCACAGGAGAAGCCTTGTGTAACCATCTCTTAGATGTAGCATATTTGCTTGTCAGCTATTTGATTCTCCCCTTCTGCAGTAGCTGTGCACACCAGGATAGTCTGTCTCATTTGCATTTCTTCTGGTGCAGAAACAAGAGGTCAGTCAGTAATGGGGCCCTCAGTCACTGCAGCTGTCCCTTGAGGCTCAGGCAGATTTCTTCATGTTTGCTGCCCTTTAGCCCAAAGCAATTACACTGAGAGAAAATGTGCTCCTATTAAGTCAGTAACAGCCCCGTGTGTTTTGGAAAGGAGGGTTTGGTACCACTGTGTTCCACCTCAGATGAGGAGACACGATGATACAGTAGTTTATCTGACATCATCCTGCAACCCTGCAGCAGAATCAGAGCTCAGGTTCTAGTCCTGCTGTGGTGTTCTGTCTTATTTACCATAGTTTTACTTATTTTAGTAGATTTGAAGGGATTCACTTCAGAAATGACCAGATGGGTCAGTGGGCAATGCTGGAAGGCAGTCTCACCTGACCAAATATGTAGAGATTTTTGTGTGGTAGCTGTGAAAGTGGAAATACCACTGTAGTGACCTGCACAAGAATGACTGGTTATCTTTGATGAATTGTGAATGTCTTTTGGAAGGAAACCTTTTGGGTTTTGGCTATGGAATGCAAGTCCTGTGTTCAGAGCCTGCAGGTTCCTCTTGCAGATCCCTTTCTGAAAACAGTCTCCCTGTCACAGCACATATTGGTAACTGTGTAATATTCTTCCATCTCATAGGTCCAGAGCCAGAAGCGACTCCTGAGCCACCCAAAAAGGTGGCGCCCAAGTTCCGAGTGCGACCCCGCTTTGAGCCCATACATTTTGTCACCAGCGCTGAGAAGGATGGCAAGAAGGACAATTCTCTGGATCACCAAAGGCAGGAGGTGAACCAGGAGGCAAATACAAACAGCATGGCACAGCCAGCTGAAAACTGTACAAATTCTTTAGTGAATGCACGAGAGGCGAATCCCCAGCTGTCCAGCTCAGCTGGGCTTGGCTTTACAGGCCCAGCAGCAGCAGCAGCCAAGAAGGCTGTGAATAGTGTGGACTCTACCACAAGCAACGCCGTGCAGGTTTCTGTTTCCCCTTCAACTGCCCCGCCTGCATCAGAGACTTTCCCTCCATCAGCAATAATGCTGAAGCAGAGCTTTATGGAGAAACTGTCAGCAGCTGTCTGGAAAAACCTTACTAATCCAGATGCAAACACTGGGACAGATAAAATTAACTTCACCTATCTTTTGACGCGTTCAATTCAGGCATGCAAGACAAACCCTGAATATATTTATGTTCCTCTGAAAGAGATTGCCCCTGCTGACCTGCCCAAGAGCAAGAAGCTCCTGACAGACGGCTTCGCCTGCGAGGTGCGGTGTCAGAACGTGTACCTGGCCACCGGCTACGCGGGCAGCAAGAACGGCTCCCGGGACCGAGCCGCGGAGCAGGCGGTGAAGCTGCTGAAGAAATCCGTGGAAGTTCGAGTCGTTCAGCGCAAGTTCAAGCACACCTACCACGAGGACCTGGTGGTGTGTGAGGCAGGTGTGTGTCGCCCAGATTTCCCTCCTGCTCTGAAACCTCACGAGGAGTTCGTAGTTGCCAACAGGGACTGTGTCCCCATGCAGCCCGGTACTGAATCCATGAAGGGTTCCGCACATGCCAACAAAGATTGGACTAGTTTTGTCCTCACAGAGAATGCCAGCGATGCAATAGGAATACTTAACAATTCTGCCTCATATAACAAAATGTCTGTTGAATATAAGTATGAATTAATGCCCAACCGCTCGTGGCGTTGTCAGGTGTATCTCCAAGATCACTGCCTGGCCGAGGGATTTGGCACAAAAAAGACCAGCAAGCACGCGGCGGCTGAGGAGGCGCTGAAAATCCTGCAGAAGATGCAGTCAAATATAGCATCCCTCAAAGTGACCCAGGTGCAGAAAGTGGGCTGCTCATCACGGGGCTCTGGGAGGAAGAAGGACCTGAAGGACCTGGTGATCTACGAGAACTCCCCTAACCCGGTGTGCACCCTCAACGACACTGCCCAGTTCAACAAGATGACGGTGGAGTACGTCTTTGAGAGGATGACAGGCATGCGATGGAAGTGCAAGGTGATGCTTGAAGATGAATTCATTGCAGAAGCAGTTGGAGTGAAGAAATCTGTCAAGCATGAGGCAGCAGAGGAAGCCGTGAAAATCCTCAAAAAGACTCAGCCAACTGTTGTTAATAACCTGAAGAAAGGCGCTGTTGAAGACGTCATCTCCAGAAATGAGATTCGAGGTCGATCAGCAGAAGAGGCTTTCAAACAGAAGATCAAAGAAGACAACATTGGGAACCAAATTTTAAGAAAGATGGGCTGGACGGGCGGTGGCCTAGGGAAGGATGGTGAAGGGATTAGGGAGCCTATTTCAGTAAAGGAGCAGTTCAAAAGGGAAGGACTTGGGCTTGATGTGGAAAGGGTGAACAGAATCGCTAAGAGAGATATTGAAGAGATCATTCGAAACTATGCACGTTCTGACAGTCACATTGACTTGACTTTCTCTAGAGAACTGACCATGGATGAGCGGAAGCAGATACATCAAATTGCCCAAAAATACGGTCTTAAAAGTAAATCCCATGGGCAGGGACACAACAGATACTTGGTGGTGAGCAGGAAGCGGCGCAAGGAAGATCTGTTAGACCAGCTGAAGCAGGAGGGCCAGGTTGGGCATTACGAGCTTATCATGCCCCAAGCAAACTGAGGTGAGGTGTCCCCTTTGAACAGAGACTGAGTTTCCTGGACACTCGACTAAAGAAAGAGATGCTGCATTTTTCTTGTGGGTAATAAAATAATGACATTAAAGTCTTTTACTTTGGCAATATAATTTCTAAAATGTTGTTAGGTGTTTAGAACCGACCGAATTCTGTTCGAGCGCATTAGCACAACCCAAAAGCAGTAGTGCTGTTCCTGTATGTGTCTTTGATATTACTTGTTCCTTCACATTTTACTAGTTTTGTAATAGCAAACACATGTCCAATGAGAAGGAATTTGACATAATTTAAAATTATAGGTCCCTTGCTTTTCTTGAGCAAGGAAGGAGAAAAAAAAACCTTTTAAAAAAAAATTAAAAAGCAAAGGAAATGCAGTCTGGGGGCATAAACTTGTATGTAAAATTGGTATTAATTACAACAAAAATAAAGTTTTATTTCTGGAAAAAAAAAGGTTTTGTCACACTTTGTATTAAAAAAGTGTGAAAACTGATTATTCTTGAGAAATACCTATATCAAGGTCTTGTCTCTGCTGTGTTTATGTACAGTATGTAAACCTTAACCAGTTCAGTGGCAGTTTTATTCATAGATTTCTACCTTGAGTCTCCCATTCTGAGAGTCACTGACGGCGCCTTCACTGCCAGCGAATGGGACTGAGAGAATTCCAGCGTTCCTACCTTGGAGAACGGTTGACATGTGCAGATACCATGGTGAAGTGTGAAATATAAAAACTGGAGGTAAATGCAGAGCCCACGCTCAAAGATGCTCATGTAGCTTGTGGGGACTGTTATATAACTTATTTTTTTACTTGGAATATCAGCTCTTTAATCCTGAACAAAACTGAATGTGTGCCTGGTTATTTCTCTGCTCCATCCCTGTGCTTGTGTCTGGTGAGGGGATTCCCCAGGAACCTTCTGGCCTTGCTCTGACCACGTGTGAGTGTGGAAGCTCTCCAGGACTGGCTTATGTCACTGTGAGGGCAGAGCACTCCCTTCTTTATGGGAGAAGCATCCCTGACCTCCATCTGCACTGCCTGCTGGCAGGGTTACAGGGCACGGTGCTCTGTGAGCCTTGGAGGACTCTCCCTTCATGCTTAGGAAGGTTAAAGGAGAGCAGCTGGCCTTGGAAGAGCCAGGAGTGAGGCGTGCCTAGAGATGCTGCTCATCCTGTCAGCAGTGGGGTCTGCAGGTGCTTCGCTAAGCCAGCCCTAAGGCAGTGCTTCTGTCAGGTCTCCTGTTGCCGTGTCTCAGCCATCACCTGGGGTCTTCTGCTGCTTATATTTGCCTCTCCAAATCATGACACCTTCCTCTACTTTTTTTCCCACCTCTTGTTCTGTTTTTAAATGCTCTCAGGGCTGAGGTGAGGATGCCTAACCTCTGGATGTCCTGGTGGTGAGCAGTTAGAGGGATTTTGATCCCTGCAGGGTGATGAGGAAGAGGAGAGACTGCCCTGGCAGGTGAGACTCAGGAAGGAGAGAGCAAGAGTCCTCTCCTCTCTGCTTGGCTGCAGCACAGCTTCTGTCTGCTTGGTCTGCTGGGTAACAACTTGCTGCTGCTGTGAAAAAATAATATAGCAGTAAATTCTGAAAGTAGGTTGTTTTTTTTTTTTTTTTTCCCCTGTTGTTTGAGGTTGGTTTTTGTGCATTTCTTCTCCCTGTGTCTGAATTCTGCTCTCATCAACACTGGACTGTAGCAGATGGTGCTGTAGGAGTGGAAGAAGCCTGGTACTTTCTAGGGAAAGATGAAGCTCCTCCTCCCTAGCTTGGGTCTGCACCAGGTGCTTGGAGTTTGGTGCTGCCAAGGAAGGCAGTGAGAGTTGCACTGCTGTTCATGATGCAAAATGCCTCTTTTGGGAGAGCTGGGGCCTTGCTGCAGTCAGGGTAGCTCAGCAGGGGCAGCTGCCCAGGCTGTTCCTGCCCTGTCCTGGCTGTGACCCCTGTGCCACACACGGGGCTGTGCAGGACCTGCTGGGGGCGCTGCAGTCGCTGTGCCCGGGCCTGCACAGCCTCAGCCTTGGGGAGAGGCACCACGGGGCCAGGGGGGAGCCTGTGGATCAAGGCCTTGCCTGAGCAAGCCTGGAGGGGGGATTGGTTTTCTTTGGCTGCTCTGTGCCGCTCACTTCTGGCTGCAGAAAAGAGGCCACTCTGTCGTTTTGGGCTTTTTTTTAACTAGTGAAACAAAGAATGGTGGGAATGCTGCAAGGGCCTCTGTGGCCTTAGAGGGACTTGGTTCCTTGAGAAGGGGTTGTGGCATTACAGCTGTTCCAGGTAAGGCACAAGGCTGTTCCAGGGTACAAACTCACAAATCTCCATTAATTTTTTTGAAAGAGCCCAGCTAATTGTACAGAAACCAGCTCTTGTTTTCTGCCACTCATCATAAATGCTGTTCTCCACCTGCTAAGACAGGAGGAAGGGAAATGCAATTCCTGTAATAACCGAGCCAGCCCTGTCTCCCCCTCCCTGCCCCTCCCCTGCACTACCCCAGGCACGCCTCTGCCCACAGGAGGAAATAGCAGTGCTGCAGCTTCCCCCCACACCAGCTGCTGGCAGCCCAGTTAAATAAGCACAGTTATACACTTCTTGCCTATTTATACAATAAGCACTAAGGTTACACTTTATTTACAACTTTTGAAAAATGTACAGTTTCTTACATGGGTTACTTGTGCAAAGTTATACTTTTCAACTAACAGACCAATGTGCACACAAAAGACACTGGAACAGTGGACAACACAATTGCAAGTTCCATCCCACACTGCTGCTTAAGGTTCTGTATCCAAAGGTACAAACTTGCCTTACAAAAAAAGTGACTGGACTTACAAATGTTTTTTTCAGAATTGAAAAAATACTTCCATAAAACTGAAGGGAACGAACTCAAGCATGCAGCAGTAGCTCACACAAACCACGCCGTCATCTACGAAGAGCAGAAACTGCAGAGACTCGAGTGCCTACCCTGGACTTAATTCAAACTTCCCACAAGACAAAGTTAGATCCCAAACAACTTATCTTTCTCAGCTAAAGATAAGGGGCAGGAGAAAGACACCGAAGGAGAGTAATTCCATCGCTGGAACAGGTCAGGTTTTACCTCTTCCTTAATGTGGAAGGCCTTTTGCTGAGTACCACAGCTCTGCCTGGTTTTGTCCAGTATGCCTTCGTGACAGGACTATAGAAACCTGCTGACAGTTTCTGTAGGCATGTCCTTTAAAATAGTAATAAAAAAAAAGGGCTTGTTTCTCACCCTCAGCAAAGATCCAAGTACCACAGCTGTAGTGATTTATGTAGATCTGTACATAAATCTTGCATGTGAAGTGCAGAAGTAACAAGCATTCCAGAGGCTTACTAAATCTTTGAATTGGAATCAATCAAAGTGTTGATTTTTTTAACATGAGTAAAGGAGTTGATAAACCAATACAAAAGGGAAACAAAAGATGATTTCTTCACCCAGTACTTAGAAATGCAGTGGGGTCTAAACCAATAGTAGAGGTGAGTGACCACCCCGGACACATCAGCACTTTAGTTAATATCAGTTAAAAAATGTGTATGTATATAAACATCCCTTTTATCAAGCTACACATAAGCATCACTGTGTATAACACAATTACAATTAAAAGCTTAGTGTACACTACAGAAATGCACAATACTGCCCTAAGACTGGAGAGGGACCACAGAAAATGAATTCAGCATCAGTAACTCTTTTGCAAGTAACCCAAGTACAGAACGTTTGACTTCAAAGTGGGTGCGTTCTGATGTCCAAGGAGAAGAAGCTTCAGCAAGGGAGGGTGGCAACAGCACAACAGCTATTTTGCTTGCAAAGTAAATGCTAGGAGGAAAAAGATGACTCGGACACTTTGTTTATTTTCCTCATCAACAGAGTGTTCATTTGCATCATCCTGGGTCAACAGTCACGCCAGCTCTGTTCTACTATTGCAGAAACCCGTTTTTCATATTCCCGCTTATTCTCTTGGTATAGCTGAGCTGCCTGGCTGTTTGCTGGGCTGTTCGGGTTGGGCTCATCCAATAGGGACTGCGCAAAGAGAAAAACATCCTTAGGCACTGCCGAGTACAGCTCCCCAGCACACCCTCGGAACTGCCCACGCTGCTCAGAGCAGGGCTGTTACTCCAGGTGCATCCCTGCAGCTGGAAGGCTCTGGAGGCTCTGGCCACCAGTGTCACCCTGCACAGTGCAGGTGACTTGCTGTGACAGCCAAGCATCCCTGGGGCCCTGCAGTGACCACCTGAGTCACTGCCTGGCCAGCTTACACCTGGGAGGGATTCACACTTTGCCATACTGTAGCTGCTATACTGGCTCTTAGGAGAGGGGGGGAAAAAGTTTCCTGAGCTGTTTTTGTCAAAGCACCCTAATGTAATTCTGTCTCTTCATGCAGAGTTCTTTTACCTGTATGGATGTTAAGATGGAGGAGACATCATAAGTGGGGCTCCAGCGATTCTGAAGGATATCCAGACATATACTACCGTCTGCATAGACTGGAAAGGGTCAAAAACACAGCTTAAACCACAACTTGTACAGCCACTGGCTTTTCTCCCTAGTACTGCCCACTCCTGAAAACCTATGTACAGACACACTGCAACAGCCCATACTGCAAACAGGCCTCTAGGTAGGAAGCACTGAAGCTCCTCACCAACAGAAACCTGAAGTATTTAAAGTCAACCCCTGGTTATTCTCTCACAAACTTCTCTGTGTCATTGCAACTGCTGCTGTGGAAAACCATGAACAGATTTTAAGGCAAAAAAAAAAGGAATTAGCTGCCCAGAGGTGAACCAAACAAAGAACACCCACAAACAGTTGTTCACACTCAAGGTTTCCCCATGAAGTCTCTGCAACAGAGTCCAGTCACCTTATTCACAGCAGCTACCTGAGGACCTTCCCTCCCTGCACTGTACCCACACTTGCCATGGTGGAAGGTTTCTGGTATTTCTGCACAAAGGCAGGAATAGCTCTCCAGCCTTTAGCTACCTAGGAAGGGGATTAATTAAACAATCTTACTGTCACTGGCTATAGCTGGACCCTGACACTACATTTCATGGTGCATCATTCTTACAGGCATTTAGGGCAAGTGACAGATGACAGCTGCATTCACTGGTGCCACTATGCTATGTCTACAATACATACAGACAGAAGTCCAAAGCACTGCTATTAAAGTACAAAACATTCTTCTGTAAGGCTTAACAGGCAGTTGAGTGTCTCACCAGTACTGTGCTGTAACACCTGAAAGGTAAGAGGCTCCTTTTATTGCCCCTTTCTTTTCAAGCCTGAGCACTGCTCACATATCCATCCTCACCAAAACTACACAACCACTGGAACTGTGCTGCCTCATTAGTGGAAACTTTTATAATAAATAGACCTTTTGTTCAGCAAGCTATAACAAAAAACATCCCAGCCCTCTCTTCCCCCCACCAAACCTCCAAGAGAACAGCAAAACTAAACCCAAGCACTGTCTAAGTACTTACCATTTGGATGAAACATTTTAGAGACAAATCTGACAGTAGGTGGCTTATTTGGGTATTCTTCTGTGAATTCTATTGTAAGTTTGAAAGTTCCTGGAGTTGAAAGAGAGATAAAGCAAGCTTTATTCAGCATGAATTTACACAAGGGATGAGTAAGTAGCAGTTCCCCCACAATACACACTGACACTACTGTGCTCACACAGGCATGATGGACATGGAACACACATTGTGCAATTCCTTCACTCTCGTGGAGTTAATCATTAACACCCCATCCCAAACAGCACTGGTACAAGAGCATTTCCTGGGACTGACTTTTATTAAGCCAGTCAAAAGGTTTATGTAGGGAAATAAATCTGCCCTTGGGGTTTTCTTCCAGAGAGCCTAATCCCAGCACACTGTGCAAACAACAGCAGTGGGTGTAGAACCATCTGTGTACATAACGTCATTGGGCGAGTCCTATCTATGGAATACGCTGTCATAGCAAGGACCTTGTCATTTATTTCCTCTAAATTAAAAAAAGGCATATTTCTCAATAAATGTAAGGTAATCAGGTCTTGCAGAAAAGTAGTATTGAATGCAGCATCCAAATCAAACTTTCAAATACAAACCTGAGCATTTACTTCACGCTAAGTGGTCATCCTTAGTGAGAGGCTGATTGAGCAGAACCAGAAAACTGCAGCTGAGTCTCAATCCAACCATTTCAACAGCCTGCACCAAGGTAAGTTATTTTAGCCCTTCTCCTCAGGCTATGACAGTCTGGGAATAAGAAGTCTGTCAAGTAAGCTGCACATATGGGTTCAGGGGATCAAGGCCTACTCCTGATTCAGCTCGGTCACCAAGGAACTCTCCCTGCTCCATGCAGGCCACGGGAGCTGCTCCCAGCCACGCTCCCTGGTGTGCCCAGAGCTGGAGCAGCTCCACACAAACACACAGCCCTCCTGCAGAAGGGCTGCACCTGACACTAAAGCAGGAACAAGCTGCTGCTGGGGCACGTTGCCTTTTCTGAAAGGGCACCTTTATGTATCAGTGATGGATGAGTCAGGTTCCCCACATCCCCCACGCTCAGTGTCCCTCCGTGTTTCCTGTTGTCAGGGAGTTTTCCAGCCCCAATAGAATGAAGTTATTCCTTTGGCTAGCAAACACGTGCCAATAACTGGTAAGCCAGAGAACAGATTTTTGGTTTTTGGTTTTTTTTTTTTTTTTCAGATCAGCAAGGACCTGCAAGATTTCCCAGGGACTCCTTTCTTTATAAGGAGATAAACTGTAACACTGAGTTGCAAGAAATGAAGGTCATTGCTTTGACGTTCCAGTTTGCAAATGAAGACACAGCACAGATGCTTTAGCACTTTCTCTACAGCAGTGGGAAGTCTCAACACCCTAAAAATAAGTTTATGCATGTTTGGTTTTTTTATTAGCAGCCTAACAATGTAACAGCAGAGAGCCAACACTATGCTATCTCACTGTGAAACAAACGAGCCAGAACAGCAGAGTTAGGATTGCTCAAATTACTGGAAGTCTGCAGTGGGGTTTTCAAGTAGACTCCAGCTTAGTCCAGTGGCACAGAGCCAGGTCTGAGATCAGCCTGAAACACAGGAGTGAGGAACAACTTCTGCCAGCTGCAAACATCAGCCCCTTAGAAGCAAATGCTTAGAGATTTGACTCAAGGTATTCTCAGCTCTCCCTGCCCCAGTTTGGTTCTCAGGAGCCTCCCCCTGAAGGAGGAGTGACTAAGCAAGCAGTAGGCTGAAAACCAAGCACAAACCACCACACAGGCTCGGCAGCAACAGGAGCAGTTTGGTCTCAGAATCTATTTAAAACCACTGAAAGAAAGGGAAGCTATTGTCCCACAGAGACAGGACAGCACTACTTTAACACAGAGCTGAGCAAGGGGCTCACCTGCAGCAACACCCAGCTGGAGTATGTATCTACCTGCTGGGATTTCCAAGGCAGGGCCCAGAGTGGCAATGGCTCTTTGGAAATGCTCCACAGCATGCAAACCCTCACTACTGAGCTTTACTAAAGGGCAAATCCAGAGATGTGATGCACCAAAGTCCAGGGGTCACACACACTGAAAGCCCACAAAGGTATCACAACACAGTGCTGAGGCCTTCAGAGTCCAGTCCCTCCTATCACTAATTTTAATGCTTTCAACTGGTATTTCTCACAGCTTACCCCAGACAGACATTTTAAAACCATGAATTATCATATTTACTGTCATTGTTGATTTTGGGATCACACTAATCATAGGCAAACATTCTCTTTTCTGCCCTGTACTTACCCTGCTGATCACTCCTGCCTCAGCATTTGAGACCCTGACACAGCCAGAAGAGGTTTCTGCCCAGCCCCAGCTACTGCAGAGAGCAGAGCCCGTGTCCCTGCAGGGCCCCTCACTGCACCCCCTCCATTCCACTGCCCTAAAAGCAGGGACAGGCACTTTCACTCCTGCATGAGGATACAGGATCCACATTCCATGAGCAAGGCATAAACTACACACAAGACAAATGCCTTGTGTTCTCTGCTCAGCCTCCTGCACAATCCCAGCAAGGCAGGGTACAATGGCTGAGCTACTTAAATCTCTCTGAGCCAGGAATCCCACACTAACCACAGCACCATCACCCAGCCTCAGAGGAACAGCACTGGCACAGCCTGGGCTTCCATGGCTGTGCCAGCATTACCACTTCAGATGCCACACACAAACATTCTTAGAAATATGGTGGAGGGAGGATAAATATCCCCAGGGTCCCACTGCAGACACCTGCAATCGAATCCTCTGGAACCAGAAGATGGAAGTTGTGCTGCTGGTCTAAATTAGTGGTTGCTCCTAAGCTGAGGCAGGCTGCACACCGAGTTGTGAAAACACCCTCCAAGTCTGGGGGTGGAGAAGGAGGGGTATCAGCTGCAGAATGCTGCACAGCAAGTAAACAAATGTGCTTCAACTTCAGGTTTGCAGCCCAGACAAACCACACCACCTCAGAAGCTGCAGGCAGAGAAGGGCCTCACCAGAAGGAGGATAAAGAACAGTAACTCTCACAATGTCAGCATCATTATACCTCTAGAATAACAAACCCCCCAAATTTCACAGGCTACTTTTACAAGAACCAAGCTATCTGAAATTTTACAGTATCACCACACAGTGAAAGAGCCTAAAAATTAAAAAGAACACTGACCTGCAAAGACTTACAGAGTTTCAGTGTATCTTTGAGTCACAAGGGCCTGTGCAGCTGCAAAGCCAGTCCAAACTAACATGCTGTTAAATTAAAATTTCCTTACTCTTACCTGCATGAAGCTGAACTGCATCTGGACTGCACTGCCATGATCTGAACTGTGCTGCTTCACCCACTGAGTGGGAAAGCACAGCTGAGGCACCAGCAAGCCCTATCTGCAGGCTCCACTTAGTGCTTTGTTATCTGGCAAAGTAAGATCCATCCAGGGGGAGGAGATAAGCAGATATCCTGCTGCCCAAGCCACATCTGTTTTCCTGAGCACACAGTGGGAAAACACAGCCTTTGCTAAGGAAGGAGCAATCCATCACACCTTGGGGCACAGCATGACATCAGCCCAAGCTGCAGGACAGCAGCAGCAGCCCCAAGCATCTGTCTGAACCTCAGACTGCTGTGAGTGCAACACATCCTCAGCATCCAAGATAAAGACTCAATGCTGCCTCAGGAAGCACAGAGGAAATCAATATGTCAGGGCTCTCAAAAGCAGTCCTCAACCTTCTGCAACTAAATGGAAATGTATGGAAAAAAAGCCCTTGGAGCATCTGTTAACCACATGCTGAGCTGGAAGAGCCTGAGCATGGCAGGAACCTGCATTCAGCACACTGCAAGGAGACAGCTCTCTGCTCCAAACTGTGAATCACTCTATTAGCAGCACTGCTCCAAGAGCTAAAGCAGCTCCAGCAACCCCCACAGAAGTTTCAGTGAGCCCTTCTTTAAGGGTTACCACATGAGACAGCAAAACACATTCAGTCTAGCTGCTCTATTATGCAATGCTTTAAGTCCAAGTTCTAAACATCAGACTCCTGAAACAGCTACTCCAGCAAATTTCTTAACTAAAGAAATTAAAAAGAATTACATTAAAAAGAAGTGAGTCTTCAGAGTTTTCTTAGGCCTGAAATATTTGAGGTCTTCAAAACAGTCACAGAGAAACAGTGTGCAATTCAGAGGCACATCCACAGGTGCTACCTCCACGGATAAACAAAGACAAGGGAGTTAGCCAAGAACAACATAAGAGTTAAGGAATTTTTCCTATGCTTTTGTCATGAGTCATGGAGATCTAAGATTAATTATAGCCTACACTGAAAGTACCTTAAAAAAATGCATCACTGATTTCAGTTAGACAGTATTTCATGTCTAACAGGTTTTCACAAGATGCTGAAGTACTCATACAGCATCAGTAAACCTATCAAAGTCAGTAAGGCCAGAGGGAAACTACAGGTATGTCACCAGGACCTATTCAGTCAGCTTTTAAACTTAAAAAGTCTTTTAATCTTAAGCCCTGAATGATACCAATTGCAGCACAGCAGAAATAAATGAGAAGAAAAAGCCACTCTTCTGAACTTCCTCAGTCATTCAGCCCATTTCCTACTTCAGCTGACTCACATTGGAACTTGCTCACAAAACACTTCCAGCATCAGAAAAACACAGAACTCAAACAAAAGACAACAGTTCTATGCCAAGTTATTGATGGCTACCCAAACATGAATGTCCCTAAATACATGATCCAAAGTTCAACAGAAAAGTTTGTAGAGACCCTTAAAATGACTCATAATAGATACAGGGACTATATACAAGACTGTACAAGCTAATTGCATGTTTTTTTAAGTCAACACAGCAAACTAAATCTACAACACCTTCTGAGAGTAGGATTAGAAAACTAATATTTACAAAAACCAGGCACACACGTGTGTGGTCAGGTGAACATGCACCCACGTCCCCCTCCTCCCCCCTTCCAGGCTCACACCTGTTGCAGTCTACGGCAGTGACACCAAGGCCGTGTCAAACCGCAGCATTCATCCCGAAAAGCCAAACACAGCCCCGCACGCCGCACTTACCGTCCTCGAAAGGAGTCCCCTCGGGCCTGGAGAAGGGAAAGCAAAGCACAGCGTTACCCCG